CTTCATAGGAATTGATTTGCGTCATCTGCTGCTGCTGCTGCTGCTGCTGCTGCTGCTGCTGCTAGGTGCCATCGAGTCAGGCTCAACCCATAGGACCTTGTGCACAACAGAACGAAACACTGCCTGCCCTCCGCCAGCTTCACGGCCACTCCTATGCCTGGCCCATGGTGACAGCACGCGTCAGTTCATCTCAGTGTTGCCTTCCTCTGTTTCTTCAGCTCCCAGGAACCCCATCAAACTGTGCCAGGGAGGGATCCTGGGCTGTCTTCTTCCCAGGAGTAATTTGCTCAGCCATTTTCCCACAAAGCCTCTGCGTGGGTTTGAACTGTCAACCTCTCCGTCCGCAGCTGAGGGCGTCACCATTGTGCGGCCAGGGAACCTGAACCAAGCACCACGTGAGGTCTGCTGCTCCAGCTCTTAGGTTGGTTCGTGGAATCCTGGCCACGCCCCTTGTGGGTTTGACGTCTCACTTGGATGGATGTGGAAACCAGGCTCTGGAGTCCCAGAGGGTCCCAGCAAGTCCGGCAGCCATGTTTAGAAACCCTGTGTAGAGTCACTGTGAGTCAGGGTCCACTCCGTGGCAGAGAGATTCTGTTTTGGAGCTGGGTGGCTCAGTGAGTTAAGCACTGGGCTGCTAAGCAGAAAGAAGAGGATCTAATCCGGTAAGGACGGACAGCCTCAGAAACCCACAGGGGCAGTTCTACCCCTTCCGAGGGGGCAGTCAGAATGGACTCGATGGCAGTGAGTTTGGGTTGTTTATACAGGCACACACACACACACACACACACACACTCGTAGAGGTATAGATACATGCATTAGGCTGCTAACGTCAAGATCAGCAGTTTGAACCTACCAGACGCTCCTGGGGAGGAAGACAGGGCTTTCTACTCCCATGAAGAGTTGCAGCCTCCCACACTCACAGAGGCGCTCTCTTCTGCCCCATAGGGTCTCCAGGAGTCAGCATCGACTGTCTGGCAGTGTGTTGGTTTGTTGTAGGGTAATGCGGTTTGTAGCCCTTCTCACACTCGTTTGGCAGTCCTTGGCTGAAGGTAAACAATGTGCCAAGCCAGGCTCGCTGCTGGCTGTTACAAGCAGTGGCAAGAGGGATATGGCCACTGTCCTCCTGGACCCCATAATCTAATGAGGGAAGTAGGGTTTTCCCCCAAAAAAGCCACCCCAGCTGTACCAGGCGCAGGAGTTCAGAAAGCCATACTGGTGGGGCGGACAGCGGAGGTCCAGGTGGAGGGAAAAGCATGTGCAAAGGCCCTGTGGCAAGAGGAAACAGCCTACTCCAGGAATGGGCCCAAGGCCCGGAGAGTGGGAGAAGGAGGCGTCAAGAGGAGGATGGAGTTGCAGGGGGCCAAGCCAGGCTGGTTGTGCTGTCTTTATTCTAAGATTCACATGCCCAAGCCTCAGGGAATCATGCAAACACAATCCCCACTGTCTCAAGATCTTCAAAGCTCAGTCTCTACAGTGTCTTGCTGGGGCTCTGTCTCCTCACTGGGGGGTGAAGTATCAGCACACCTGCTCCACAGGGTGGATATGAGAAATACATGCAGACACACAGTGAGCTTGGGGCCTTGCACACGGTACGTCTAGCAAACACAGGTGATCACATGTATTCCCCTCCTTTCACAGCCCATTCGCTTTCACTCCTCATCCCTTCACCCTTCTCCGGGCCCCAGACCCGGCGCCCAACACTGGGGAATCCCGAACACCAGAGAGACCAGCAACCCTGGAGCGAAGACAAGTGTCCTTTGCCTCCTAGTGACACTGCAGGTCCAGTTTCTGACCACCGCACAAAAAAAAAAAAAAGGCAAATCAGGTGAATGTTTAAAAAGTGGTGGTATGGCGGTTACACACTGGGCTGCTAACCACAAAGTCTGCAGTTCAAAACTATCAGTCGCTCCATGGGAGAAAGATGAGACTCTCCTAAAGAGTTACAATCTTGGAAACCCACAGGGGGCAGTTCTACCCTGTCCTGTGGGGTCGCTATGAGTCAGAGTTGACTCGATGGGATTGTTTTGTTTGTTTGTTTGTTTGTTTGTTTGTTTGTTGACACCAGGCTGCAGCCTATGGAGTGTGACAGCACAGTGGTGAACATGGAGCAGAGAGACATGGAGCAAGCACATGCTGTCGGGAAAACAGGATAAGAGATGCCTTCTGATGGGGGGGGAGGGGGCACCGGGGACACAAGCCTTCCATTTGTATGTATGTGGGGAGAGGGGTGATGCAGTATCTACGACATGCAATAGAGTGACGTAAGCCTGCACATGCTGGGAACTGTGCTCACCACTTGTGACTTGGGCACAGTAACCCCAGAACAGGCCTCTCCTGCCCAGCCCTCTGCCATCTCCCCAGGAGCTGCGAGTTCCACGCTCACTTGGGCACCTCCTCTGGCTCCCACCCGCTCCCCTGTCACATCACTTGTCCCTCTGGAATGCAACTGCCCGCTCCCTTGTCTCCCGTGCGCTCCTGGGGCATGGCCTGGCTCATACTCGTCTGCCCCCACTGCCTGCCACTAGAGAGCCAGGTTCCCAGTCACCACGCATGCCACAGGTGGAAACAGGTGGGAAGGGGAAGCCCTATCTCCTGACTCTAACCACTACCCTATACCACCATCCACTTCTTCCAGCAGTTGGAGGAAAGGCATCAGGACCCAGGGTGCCCCTCCTCCTTCCCTGTCCCCAGACTCACTGAGCAGCTGTCGGCTGGCGTCGCTGACCGTCACATTCTCCTGCCAGAAGGGGTTCATCAGTGGTGTGCATGGGGTCCGGGCTGGACAAGGGAGAGACCAGTGGCAAGGGCCACAGAGGGCCAGCCTGACCCCTATCCACTCCTTTGCCCATCTCCCTTGAAACGCTCCAGCATGGTAGGAGGGCTTCCAGCTGTGGGCAGAGCTGGGCAGCTCTCAGATGGACATCTGAAGCCCCAGTCCTCTGCCACCATGCTCCCAGACACAGTGACGTCACCAGGACGGGTGCCCCCACCCCACCCCACCCCACAGCCCTCCTCCTGTGCCAGGCCATACAGAGGTCTTAGTAATGTTCATTACCAAGCGGTGTGTTTGTGCAAAAAAAACACTTAAATGGAATGATTTTGTCACTCGCGACAAAAGGACGTGGTGAAATCTTTCTACACTGGATCACAACATTATGTAACTCTGAATGGAAGTTTTATTTTTAACTTTCTTCTCCTTAATACCTTCATTATTTTTACAACCTATTGATAGACATTTTTAAAAATCGGCATATGCCGCCAAAAACCTGGGCGTGAAGAATACTGTAATGCAGTAAGTACGACAGTTCTGACCAAGCCCAACTAATCCCAAATTCACTGCTATCTAGCTGGTTCCGACTCACAGCGACTCTATAAGACAGGGTAGAACTGTCCCTGTGGGTTTCCAAGAACTCTCTCTTTTTTTAAAGGCTGTAATTCTTTATGGGAGTAGAAAGCCTCATCTGTTCCCCATGGAGGGACTGGTGGTTTCGAACTGCTGACCCAGTGGTTAGTAGCCCCAGTGTTTCTCTTTGTCCTTAGACAAACATATTCTCTTGTTGTAACAACACCCCCCCTCCCCAACCCGGAAGGTCTTTCTTTCTGCGGACCCTCTACACAAAAATGTTACCGACAATCATTCTGTGTGCCCCTTCCGACTGCTTCAGACCCAGCCCTACTGTCCCCTAGTGACGTCACTGGCCCCATACCTTATTTGGGGCTTTAGATCTTGAGAGCTTAGGGGAGAGGTGCCCCCTCTCCCGCAAGCAACAGGTCCCAGGTGAGCAAGGAACGTTCTCCACCCCAGCCTCCCTACCCTCATCCCGGACCACGGACACCCTCTCCCCAACCGCAGCTCCCCGCCTCCTTACCCCGGCAGGTCCGCCAGAGGCCGGAATGCGAGCTCAGAGGCTCGGGCTGGCTGCGGTTGGCGGCTTCGCGCGGCCCTGGGCCGCTGCGCTCCAGCCGCTGGGCGTCGATGATGTACCAGAAGTCCGTGCCCATGGCGGCCGCCAGCAGCACGAAGCTGAGCGCCCCTGTGAGCGCCGCCACGCCGGCCAGAGCGCCCAGGTGCAGCCGCATGGCAGAGCCGGTCCCCGCACCCAGACCACCCCGCTGGCCCTGTGGACCTCCTGGCTGCGCCCGCCGACCCCCGCCGCGTCGGGAGAGGCTGGAACTCCGGCGCCAGCTCCGCCTCCCAGCCCCTCAACTGCTCCCCGAGTCCCGCACCGCCACCTTCAGCCCCTCACCTGCAACCTCAGACCTGGACAGACGCCGCCTCGGACTCCACCTCGACCCTCAGACCCCTCCCCGTGTGCCTTCAGGTCTTCACCAGCACCCTGAGAGCACGTCTGTCTGTCCTAGGACCCCACTTTCAGGCGAGACCCCTCTTCCCCTCCAACTTCTCCCTCCTCCCTCCCGGGGCCTCTAGCCGCTCCCCACGCTGCCCCTCGACACCAGCCCGCAGCCCCCGCCTCCGGCCAGCACTGCAGGGTCTCCCTTCCCTGGCCCACCCCCAGCTCCCACTCCGCCGGGGCGCAGCACTCAGATGCCCTGCACGCAGGCAGCTGGAAGGGAGGGCGGGGCCTTGAGGCATCCTTCAGAGAACCAGGGGGGAGGTGACGAAGGAGGGGCGGGGCCCCTTCAAAGGACCTTCTCCTCCAAAGTCTACTTTCAATACGCGCAGCCACGGCGTCCTGGCCACGCCTCCCCAGCGAGAACCTCTCCCCCTGGGCGCTCGCCCTCAGCCCTTCACCCCTCCCGCCACCTCCGTGCCCCAGTGCGCTCTCCGCGGTGCTGAAATCGCCCCGCGCCCACCTCTGCTCAGCGCTCTACTCCCAGCTGCCAAAGCGCCCCACGAAATGTGGTCGCCATATACTAAAAACACTAAACCCGTCCGACTGCTAGAGGCTAGGTACAGGGTTTCTGAGACTGTCAATCTTTACAGGGGCAGACAGCCTCATCTTCCCCCTAAGAGGGGCTGCCGGGTTTGAACCATCAACCTTGCTGTTAGTATCCCAACGCTTAACCAACAGTGCCACCTGGGTTCTTTAAAACACACTTTCAATTTCGTTTTCAATTCTCACTGCCATCCAGTCAGTGCCGACTCAGCGACACTCTAGGACAAGGGAGAACCGCCCCCTCCCTGGGAGTTTTCATAGACGCTAACTCTACAGGAGTAGAGAGCCCCGTCTTTCTTCTGTGGGGCAGCTGGTGGCTTCGAAATGTCAACCTTGTGGATCGCAGCCCCACGTGTAACCACATCACTGCCTGGGCTCCTTGACACACATACTAGTACTGTGGAATATCTTTCAGAATAAAGAGAAATGGAGTCCCGGTCCCTGCTACAAAATACATGACCTTGAAAACACCCATCACCACCACCATCCTCATCCTCATCCTCATCCCACTCCCAGTGAATCAATTCCAACTCATAGTGACCCACAGGGAAGCAAGCAGCCTCATGTTTCCTCTGACAAGAGGGTGGCGGGTTCAAGTCACTGGCCTTCAGGTCCCCAGTCCAATTCGCAGCCCACTCTGCCACCAGGCTGAGCAGTCAGTCACAAAGGCAAATAGTGTACGATCCTACACTTCAGCAATATCTAGAATAGACAGATGCATAGAGACCAAAGATAATCCAGCTTCATGATTGTCCCAAAAGGGTGGGGATGGGAGATCAGTGTGTGGGAAGCCATGAGTTTAGGGTGATGGGAAAATCAACATTGATTACTGGCGATGGTTGTCCGACATGATTAATGTAATCAGTGCCACTGAATTGTCCTGGGGGGAAAATTGTTGAATTGTCCAGTGCCGTAATCTATATCTACCTAAATTACTTATGTGTAACATATATGTATATTACATACACACCCAAGAGGGCTTTTAAAAAGGTCATGAAAAAAATAGAATTAAAAGATACTGGTATGCACCACCCCCTGCTTATAAATGTGAAGCCTATTCATAAAGGAAAGTGTATCAAACTGCAGAAAAATGTAACAAAAAGATCACCCATTATATATCGTTATCCCAAACTACTCACCATTACAATTCTGTGCAGGACTTATGTATACACGCACAACTTCAATACGGTTGAGGGAACACTATGCAATTTCACACTTCATTGTACCTCAACATCATGACCCAAGAATTGTTCTAGGCTTACTGGATGGACTGGGACTGGTGGAACCCCGAAGACCTTTATTCACCATTCAGGTCTGGAAAGGAATTCACTTCCATGGCGTAATGTTCAGACAAACAATCAAAGAACAATAACATAGGGAGATACACACACCTTAGATTAATCAAACCTTCAAGATAAAAGGGGTAACTTTTACCCAAGGGCAAAGTTCAGAAAGGTTAGGAAAAGAGGAATGGAAACAAGAAGCAGAGGGAGGGCATGGGACCCAGGGTGTGACATTATGGGGCCAGCCATCAGGGACATGAAACAAAAGACGATGTTGAAAGGAAAACTGATCTACTTCACGGAACACCTAGTGCTCGGACGCTACATTCTGATGCACGGTGGATAAGCTGAAACCAAATTAACTGTGGCATGAAAAGCTGATGGTCTGTTCTGTGAACCTTCACCTAATTCACAATAAAAAGTTTTAAAAGATGAAAAAAAAAAAGATGCTGGTATGTTTTTCATGAACTTTTGAAGCCTCCTCATGTGTGGACACATACACACACACACCCACACATACAATGGGGGCTTCCGAAAGGTCTGTAAAAAGTCCATTATCTGCTCATTCCATTCTCCTGTGACCTTTTGGAGACCTCTCATCAGCTGATCTTTCCCAAGACCATCACCACGGAGGGCTCTACTCTCAACTCTACCCCAATGGTCTCCTGCACTGTCGTCAGCGTCGCCGTGACCATCCACTTCAGGGAGGCCTCAGAGAGGTCCTTTGATAAGGCCAGTCAAGGAGCCCAGGGAGGAAGTCTTCATGGGTTGAGCTCCTTTCTC